ATGTCGTCGGATTAACACCAAATTTTCACAGCTTTAAGGTGACAGTGAGAGGAACTGAATGTGTCCAGACAAACTATTTCATCGATTATTTACCAACGAGTTGTGGTTTGAGTTGGGGGCAATGCGACTAAAACAGTAATTGAAATTCAGCACACTATTTTTTAAAACGCGTTGCTTGAATAAAACTGACCAGACACATTCAATTTACCAGACTATTGAACAACTAGGAAAAGTGAAAAAAATACTTCTTATCGCCAGCATAAATGCGTAATTATTTTTTTTACAGAAAAAGTAATTTTTCACCTTTGATTGAGTAATGCGTCGTAGAATGCAGATACCGGCATGCAAAATACACTTGTGAAAAGCTTGAAATCTGGCGATTCTAAAAATATATACTTTCCTGGGTCTATTTGTAGTCATTTAGTCACAATGAGAAGATGAAAACAAGTATGCAAATAATAGTCCCGCTACCTTAAACTACACATCCACTACCCAATGGTATCTGTATTAACAGTTCAATAGCATCATTGCCAAAGCACCCCTTAAACAAAATAAGAATATTTGTTTCAGTGAGGTTCTGCCAGAATCTACCACTCTGTTCCCTTTTTTGGCTCCAATATGCAGAGCACAAAAGGAGGTTCATGTTATACCAATGTCTATCTGTCTGTATGAACGATTGTGTGAATGGATGTATTCCACTGATATGTCAAGAACCATTGGATAGGCCAGGGTGAATTGGCTATGATATACTTTGTGATAACTGTAAACTTGCAAATCTATGCATATTAATTAGCCAATTTGCATACACGTTTTGCTGATACATGTATATCTAACAAATCATTTTCAAACTGTTTATGTAGTTGCATGTCTAATATACTTTATAATGAATCTACAGATCTAATTACTAATTAAATATATTCAGCATGTTTTATTGATAACCTAACAACAGTTATCTCAAATGGTATAAAATTTGTACATAGGTTCTATTTGTCTCTATAGAACTAAACTGCATAATTAGCTAATTTGCATATTAACTAAATATGGTATGTTTGGAATCGATCTATTAATAGAAATGTGTGTATGTTTGTTAATCAGTAAACATCAAAATATATTGAATTCATTTCACACAGGAGCATTTTCAAGCATCTTTGATTGGTAATAATCAATGTTCATTTACATATTAACTGGCATGGTATTTGCTACGTTTAACGGTACATGCATGTACTGTTTTCTGTGTTCACAGAAACTTATTGCATTTCTTGCAAAATCTTGTGCTTAGCTCTCCAGAAATCTGGGTTTGACATCCACATCTTGCCACTTGAGATAAAAATGTCACTTAAAATTAAGGAGGAAATTGCCATTTTCATCGTGGGAACACTTGAACAATGCACAGAACAAGCCTTGAACAGAAAGTGGTTGTTTCTGTCAGAATCACATGATTTTGCTAGAACACCTATGGCAGTGGAGGTAGTTTGTGAAATATACACCCCTGACATCACAAGTGTTGTTTAATTCCTATCCACACTTGATGACAAATGATTGTCTCAAATAATTTGGAATTTACAAATCTAATCTTGGTTATGGGTTAAACCTTTGAAATCATGGTGGTGGCTGAAGGAGCATGACCAGTGCGTTTTTTGTAATGTGCCAACATGTTTTCCCTGCCAACACTTTGCATGCAATTTTTTTTTCTGTCATTGTCTAGCTTGCAAACGTTTGTTAAAAATCTTCCAGCTGTAATCAATTGTTTTATTTTCGTAATAATGTAATTTGAATAAATAAAAAACGTAAATTCGTAGACATGGGCAAGTTGTAAAATATAATGAGCTATTTTATTTGTGCGTAATTTGTACAAAGATATTATTTTTTTTGTAAGCGTAGAAAGCATTTTCCAAATTAAATGTTGTAATTCATACACAATTTCCAATTTTGATTCTTAAACACAAATTATCAAAAATATTATAAAAATGTAATTAGGAATTTGCTTTATCCGTAAAGTGTAAAAACCTATTTTTTACTGTAAATGAAACTTTCATTTTATTTCCTGTAAAAACATAAAATGCTGTTTTTATTTTCTGTAACCTGTTACCAGCTATCCCCCCTTGCCCCCCCAAAGGTTTACACTTACAAACAAGTACAAACAAGGCTAACCACCTAGTCACATTGCCTAGATCATTCTGGTATGAAATTTACCAGAAATGGGACCATGAAATCACTGGAAAATGGGAGGGATCAGTAATAAATGACAAGACAGGTTATGATTTAAGATGTTAGATATTTATAATGTACAGTTAAAACACCGACAGCAAATTTTTAAAAACACACATTTCACTAAAATTCAAAATACTTAGAAATCTTGACATGTTAATACACACTGTGAAATCATGCAGACATTTTGATGTGACATTAGCATAATACGAGTTACTCCACATATTGCACAAATGAATTATTTCTAGGATATACCTGATTTGGCTAATAAAAATAAATCACAATGGTTCCAGCCATTTTTGGGATTTCTTTTTTGACCAGTTTTAGTTTTCATGTACTCTATAGATGTTATATAATGTAATATGATTTTTAGTACATGCCTTTCTAGCCATCATTTGTGATATATGCATATGTAAGAGTTTCTGCTCATATTTGGTGAAAGTTTGCCTGAAAGAAGTAGGATACTGTGATGCACAGCACTGAGGTAAAACATGATTTTAAAAAAATGTTGATATCTTACATATGGTATCACAACATACTCCACACTGATGGAGAGTAAAATTTAAAACTTGACGTCTTGCTATATTCATTATCTCTGTATACAATAATTTACTTTTTAAAAATGTGATGCAGCAAGGTGACTGTATCCTGGATTTGTGAGTAATATTAATTTTCAAAACAACCCAATGAAGAATACAAGCAAAAGCAGAACCACAAAATGTACATGTGTACTAAATAGAAGTAAAAAAACAAACTGTAAATGATGTCACACAAGCACCTATTAAGAAGTGCTTAGAATCTTATTTATACCAAAGGAAGCACAACAATAGGGAGTACTAAGACGTCATGTATGTACTAGTAAAACAGTGCCTCTATTAAGGAAGTACCGGTATTCTGAAAACAAATACACAGGAGCAGCCCAACCCAGAGTTATGGAGAAACCAGAATTGTAATTGCATATTACAGCGCATGACATGGTGGGAGTGTGTACAAATCCTTAGCAGTCATTGAATTGGTGTGGCTTGTTAACTGTTGTATATGTCTGGTAGCCTCGCTTATGTGCGGGATTCGAATACGAACATAATGTTCAGCACCATCAATGTGGTGAAACCTCATTGACAGTCCTGAACATTACTTTACCGTTGCATGGAACGTAAACTCACTGTGATGATGCACTGTGAAATAAGGAAAAAGAGCTTGAAGCATGCGCACTGCGTACACAATGTGCTAATAACCTATAACACGGTTATGGCGTAGACATTTCTCATGAATATTATTTGAAAGTGAAATTATTAATAGAAAGCGTTTAGTATGAAATGCTTGAATCACGTATATTCGGTCTTGACCCCCAGTCTATTGTGGTTATTCAAAGACTGTCAATGCTTTCTATCATACTCAAAGCTACATGAGCGAAGGCAAGCCTCAATAGGTTTTGATTGTATACAGTGCCACCAGTGGCTGTTCCTGACTCCATGGGTCTTGGGAGTATTCTGAAGTTCCAATGACTACCTATCGGGAGTGCAATGGGGTAGCACTTTTGTCACTTGTCCAATTCCTTTTGTTCGTCCTTCTCGAAACAACAGACGTGAACCTTCACGGAGATATTCAGGATATTTTATAAACCTGAACATGACTCTTGCCTTCTGATTAGTTTGAATCGATGGCTGTGAAATAAGAAATGAGTTCAGATTACTAAAACACAATGTATACACTTTTACAATACTGGCTATGTTTAGAGTACATTTCTGTTACTTAGAGAATAAAAGGATGACAGATGTATAATAATACCTAATATTTGAAATGCTTTGAGAAGTATTTCCACTCATTACTAATCTACAAAGCAGTGTTTACATTTGAATTGAGAAATTATTGTGAGCTCACTCAGAGTATTCTGAATAGCAGACAAACACGAACTCATTGAGAGACATGATGATGTGAGCACAATATCATAACAACAGAAATGCTTACATTATAAAAACAATCCAGTACAACAAATGACTTTCTATCATTTGATAAATACATAAACTATAAAATAGGGACCAGCTATCAGTGTCATGATGTTGTGAACCAATCAAATGTACATTTACCACCAAACACCTCATCACTCTCACAGAACATTACATAGAAACTGACCAGCTGTGATGAAATCAATTTCATTTGAGCTACTCAGTCCAGATTACATTTGCATAATGAATATACAGAGAAGATAGTCAATACCCATTATCATGGGTTCATACTATAACCAAATTATGATTTGAATTATTAAAACTGCCTTTCATAGTGACACCTTTAATGTTACATAAGTATTGTTATGTACATATAAGTAAAACTGAGAGTAAACTATGCAATTGACTGTATTAAACATCCCACTGTAGTTCAGTGTCAAAATCATTGCCTGTGATATTATTATCTAAATAATACTCACTCTATCTATTTGTTCCATGATAGCTGTCTGGCACACATTGGCAATATGAACAGTTGTTTGAAATCCAGCACTGATAGACGTACAATGAAACAGCACATATACATCAGCTTCAAAACACATAGTTGATTGTGGAGTAACTTTAGGGTCAATCAACACCATACCCTAGAATACACAAGTTCAATATCAGAAAATAAACAAATATTAGACTATGTATCATTACATTTATTTAATACCATACATGAATATACGTAAGTTTTCTGGATTATTCCAGGAGAAATGCATTTAAACAGTTAAATTTGCATTTTCACTTTGCAAATATGTAAAACATCACATCCAGAACAAGCCAAAAACACAAATTGTGTTCAAATAATACTGATTTTGTAATAAAGTATGATATATTAAAAGTAGATATCCTGCTCTCACTTTCACTCTTATTTTATTTTGAGAGTACTAGAGATTCTTATCCCTTATACAAATATATCTACAATGCAATTGACCATCAATAGCAAACAATTCATATTATGCAGCTAATTTTCCATTACTCATCCATTTAGTGGTGTATATATTGGTCAAGAATGGTACCTCACAGAATGGTAAAGTTTAAAGTCTCAGAATAAGTTCTAGTTTTGAATACTTGTAATACAACCAAATAAATACCGGCATATAAACACAGGATAAAAGACTAGGCTATTTCATTTGAACTATTGATTAATTTTCATATTTGTAGATGAAGGTCAAATTATATAAAATGTTTGTCCTTGTTGTTAAATTATCAAATTTCTTTTTACTTGGATATTGGGATCTCAACCTAGTTCACCTTTGATTCATGTTTTATGTATACTGGTATTTTCCATTTTATGGATATTGGTTACATTTTTTACTTAAAATTGTCTTTTTCCATTGGTTTTTGGTGACAATAATGAATAACTATTTTTATTAGCTCATCTACATGAAACATCAAACATTTTAGGTATAACTAGCAAGTACAATTTTCAAGATATGAAGTACAATTTGACTAAAATAAAACATTTATTAGATGTAGAAATGGACAGATGGTAGTTTTGCTTAGATATGTTGCTGTTCTATTATTTTTAAAGAACTGTTATACAACTCATGTTATATTTTTTTCAATAAGGGACAATGAGTTTAATCAGAAGTACATTACTTGGGGTTTGCAACTATGGTGACATGATACCAAGATCCTGTTACAATCTTGCTCTCGCATAAGCGTTCCAACTCAGAAAAATGCGAATGTGCATGCCCAAGGTAACTAGGATACTGGGATGTCCAGGTGGATCAAAATAGCTGCTCACGATATGACGGATTACGATAACTATATTTTCTGTACATTTTCGATGTATTACATTTTTGTCACTATGAAAGTGGTACCGGTAATACATGTTTTATTGTTTTATCACAAACCGCCTATGTCATGTCAGAAGGTAGTAGCATCCGTCTCGCTATCTACGAGATGAGACTTGAATGGGATCTTGGCATGATGTCACCATACAGTACTATGCGCGTTGCAAACCCCAAGTAATGTACCTCAGTATACAGTACATCAATTGAGGAACACATTGGCTAGTATTTTTCTTGTCAAATTTTGCTGTAATATTTTTGGAAACTTTTATTGAATTCATTAATATTATTCTATAAGGGACATTGAGATTAATACAACATGTGTAGTATTATTGGAGGGGCATGAATATTAATTAATTTCTATTAAAGTAATTATGATAACTATTAATTATTTTTGTCCATTTCTGGTCAGAATTGTTGAGGCAGTATTTTCCACACTGAAAGTTTAAATATATATTATTGCTTTTATACTCACTTTTGCCATGCAAAGAGTAGATATTCCATTGTTAGTTTGTTTCTATCCATCCATTCTTATTAAATCAGGATTTTCAATTTGCAAGGTTGTATTAGCTACGTTATGTCAATAAACACTGATGTTTACTTCCAGTTACGCTAACAATCATAATCATGTAAATATTCATAACATCCACACACAAAAAATATTGAGCATATTTGTCATGTTGGTGTCATCTTTAAAATACAAATAATACCAGCATAAATATAAAGCCTGTTTAATACACCTACTACATAAATAAATCAAAAATCGGGGTAAAAAGAGAAAATAAATCAATTTTTTAACCATGCCAGTCAAAAACTACTGATAGAAAAATTATATCTAGTGGCAAACTAGTTTGTCGCGAATAAAAATATCAAAAGAAAACAAACAAATTTTCAAAGATCAGGCAAGAGCGCTTGGTAGCTTCCACCCAATAGATTTATTTCTGATATTTGAAAGGTCACCTAACACATGACAAAAACTGTGCATGCATACATACTGGCTTCTGTTTTGTAGTGCCCAGCAAAATATTTTTTCTCTTGCAATGTACCATGGCAAGACTGATCCAGTTGCTGTATTTTTGTATCTGTATGTTTTTGGTATGAATTTTATAACACTTTTTCAGGTAGTTTTTTTAATGCTCTCAATTCTCTGCGTTAGCATGGGCTAAGATATGCGAAGTAAGTATTAAATCTAGTCTGTTTTTAAGACCAGATCCTTACTAAGTGTGCGTGAACCGCTATATTGTATTCAATGTTCATTTGGAAGATTTACTACTAGTATTAAATTCATAACTATTCATTTCGGTATGTCATTTCCGGCATGACAATCAATGCAAGGACATCTAGATATTGTTCTCGAGAAAAAAATGAACTGACGATGAGAATCTGTGCTACTTCCTGTTATTCTGTAATCTGCACTTTCTGAATTTGCTTTGGTATTGTTTTATTACTGTAAACTAACATGTATACCTTCCTAGTTACTGTAATGAGTAATCATAATTAAAATGACGGTAGATTTTTGTATATTCTTAACAAGATTGGTCCGTGCTAACCACTGTTCCCTCCAGTAAGGAAACATATGAGATAAGCTTTAATCTTAGCGCATGTAGCGTGCACACTACTAGTACATCCATAAAAATAAAGAACACTTGGACTAATACATTCACTTACAATGGAGCAAATATATAAAAGATTTTCAGACGATACCTTTCTTAAGATGCTTTTATCATAATCAGCTGTGAGGGCCAAAGTTGCAGCTTGTGCCGATCTAACAAAGCGACATGCTGACCTGTTGCGGTGTATGGACTGCACTTGTACCAATATAAATTCACCAGTCTCTGTAGGACCAACCAATAACTTGTCATCTTCTTTAATAGTACCTCTAAAATATGGAACAAACATTATATTAGTCAGTCAATGAATTGAAACACAGTGTTAATCCTAAAGAGAAAATACATTGACTAAATTTCAATGCTATGTACAAATATTAAATTATGTTAAAATGTTGTTGTTCTGCATTGTGTGATTTTGTTTGACCCTGCCAAACGTTCAATAGATTGCACTAGGTTGGAAATCATAAAGGAATTTTCATAGTTTTACTTGGTCCCCAATCCTGTTTGTGACAACCACCTCGCTCAGTCAGTCAAATATTGTACTGCCCAAACCTGATTTGAAAAAAATATTGCAGCTGTTCATTACATGGTAGCATTCAATTCCACACATCTATTTTCTAGTCCTGAATTTTGTTTGTTTTGTTTAGTAATTATCAATACACTTACAGTCCATAGATTTGACAGACTATATATAATAATTATTATTCACAATAAGCTATGTTGAAAATGCATGTTAATATCACTTACCGTACTAACGTGCCTCCAACAACATTTCCTACATTTGGCACAGAAAATATTTCATCAATCTATGCAAATAATAAATAAAACATATATATATAAATATAAAATAATGGACAATGTGGTTGGGGGATCGCCATGTCCATGTACACAGAACTATTACCGATAGTTACACAGATTGGTTTAATGGAATCCATTCTGAATAGAATAGAACGTATATGCTATGTACAGCAAACATTGAAACAAACATAAAAAGTTTGAAATATTCCCACAATCAGAGAGTTTGAAAGTGTGAATGGTCACAAACTAAACAAATCTGATAGAACTTCAACCAAGGTACCAGTGCAAGATTTCAAAGCCAACTTACTGTTTAAAATAAATTATACTTATTGATAAATGTTTGATTGACACTCAGTAATAAGATTTTCACATAGCGTAATTTGCACACAGCATTTGCTGCATCAAATGAATCTTTGTACCAACCTGAAATTCTGCTGATTCCTGAGTTAATTTCTCTTGCTCTTTACTGTTGTGTAATGGTGGTAAAACATTAAGGAATCTCTTCAGTAAGTCTAAATGAAAGCCTGATACGCTGGATACTGTAAATATGGGACAAATTCTACAAAACAATAATAATATGTTGAAGCTATTATAATGAGACATAATTTATATCTACAATGAGAAGAAATAGAGAATAATTCATCAAGATTTAAAGCTAAAATTGGTAGAATGATTGTAGTTTGTGGTAATGGTAAATTAGTGAGTTGAAACTATAAAGAATCCTAATCTATATGTGATGATATTAATTATAACAAGAGACATATATACTATGAAATATCATGAAAGTCAGTGTGACTCCCTAGAATCTCAATGAAAGTCATTGTGACTCCTTATGGTATCAATGAAAATCACTGTGACTCCCTATGCTATGAAAGTAACTATGACTCCTTAGGGCCTCAATAAAAGTCACAGTGACCTCTTTCACTCAGTTAAGAACCATGGTGAACAGATCACTACTACAACATTTCTTGATTTTCCCTGACTTGATTTGTCTTTCACAAAATTACAGTATTACCCCGGTAGTGTTTATTGTCACAACTGTGTTTGTGTTTATACACTTGTAGATCAAGTGTACTATTTGTGGCTTTTTTAATCTACATGTAATATTGTTCATTTCATGTTATCAGAACATCTTACCAGTTTACTTCTCATACAGAGATTAATACATCATTACACCAGAAAGACATTATCAATAAACACATCTCACCTATCACTGTTAAAATGTGCAGCTGCAGTCATCGCATCATCTATATTATGTACACGTATAGTAACTTTATTACATCCTGGTCCTTTTAGTATTTTTTCCAGGTTTGCAATGGTACGCTGTATAACCACGGGAGGACATAGATCTATTTTACTTATCACTACAAACACAGGTACTTGTAATGCCATTGCTAAACCAAGATGTTCCTTGGTTGTGCCAACTGTAATGAATCATAGTGAATACACTTGCTGTATGGGTAAATATGCATGGAAGTATAACAGCCACAATATACACCTGCATAAATTTCTCCATATGTTTAACATTTTTGATCAAACCTTTACATTACATAACAAAGAAATTATACAAAACTACAGAAAAAAAAATATTAGAGAGGGAAATGGTGGGATTCAAAGGATAGATCTAAACAACATATATTTAACAAATTATTGCAATACTCCATGTAGGGTGTGGTTGGGTTGATAATAATGTCCTAATATGTTGCAAAGTTACTATGGTAGAGTAAGATTTTTTTAAACTAAACACCAAAAGGACTGAGAAAACTATGAAATATTTGTAAGTAATTTTCAAGAACTATGAAAAAGAAACTGTGGTGTTCAGTTTAGAGGTGTTTTATATCCAAAATATGACTTACCTATGCCAGTATTGGCACTAACAACTAGCATAGCAAAGTCTGGAGAATGACCAGTTAGTCCAAATATTGTGGTTTTGAGGTATTTATGATGACCTGCTAAATCAATAAACGTAATAAGCTTAGAAGCTTGTTCGCATATCTCTTCTGCACACCGAGAATCACTGTAATTGATAACCTATAGGAAACAAACAACAGACTATCATATATCAATCATCCAATGTAATACATCATAACATGTCAGATATGCATCACAAATCATATTTCACTTGTGACTGGAATCGTAAATCCATTATAGAAGACAACATATGTTGCTGAATATGTGAGACAACACAGTTGGTATTTACCATAAATGTTAAATACACACACGCAACCCTGGATGCTATAAAATTGTCAGTGATGTCCCCAGGAAAAATAGCAGAGTGCCACCATGGATTAGAGCACAATTATAAAACAGGGACCTCCTCCCACACACACACATTTATTTATTATGCTCTGGGAAGAACCATCAATGAACAAGTGACTTCCTTTAAAATATTAGGAAATTTTCAAATCAGAAGTTTTTTAAATCTTAGTGTTAAATGTGTCAAATCATTCATACATAAATGTAAATTAACAACAGGCGTAATCATAGAATGATTATGCGTATAATACCCATTCCTACAATTTTATATTTTTGTCCATTTTTTCAGAGTGTTGATTTACTGCAAAAATATTTGAACCATCTAAGCTAAGCCTTCACTTGATGAATGGCATATACTTAAAAAAATAAATTATTTGTTATTATTACTAAATTATTACCCATACACTGCAAAATATATTGTATAACTCAATTCATGTATAACTTAAAGTCGTTGTGTACCAGTATTTCAGAAAATATCATAACATGTATTATAACAAATGGGTGTGAACAAAATAATGAACAGCAGTACACTATATCAGTAAGTTTGATTGCCAGTAATGAAGAAAAGTATTAGAGCTGTTATAAGTTATGTGACTACACAGCTGTTCACATGCCACAGCCAGCAGCTAATCTATGAAATCAACTTGAATTGCTGAATGCATTGATGATAGTAGGCATTCATTTTGTACAGCAATCAATAAACAAAGGTGGGAAATTGTAGGTGCATGGGCTAAATGATAATGCTACCCACAAGTAAGCAATGTAGGAACAAAGCTTAAAGCAGTGAGTAAAAATGTCAAAAACACAGATACACCGATTCACACAACTGTTTTAATGAATAACACAAAACTGTATACACATTTCTCATAGTGCTTTTTTGTATTTGTCTTTGACATTTCGTTTTATATTTTTGAATAATTAAATAAAAATATACACTGCCTTCAACATACATTGTTTGATTATCGATTTACATTGGAAACTCCAGAGAAGACCCTTGCCATCTAATACGTATGAATATATACCAAAGCTAATAATCAATAACAAATATTTTGATGCCAAGAAATATATCAACCCCCTCATTACTTTGCCTCTTTATTTAAATGTCATGAATAAAATGCTTTCAAGTATAGCAGTATTTTGATGTATATGCATGACAGAATTACAATTGTATTTGAAAGTGATGACCCCCATCTTAAACACTCCCTATTTTAGGGATTTCTCGTGCTGTACAATAAGGAATAATACAGGGAGTCAAATTTAAATAAGCAAATAGTCCATATACGTCCTATGTTTAAAAAAACAGTTATTTACTCTGTCACATCTATCTACTGAATTGCAAAATGATGTTGTATTAATACAGAGTATATTGTGCTATACTAAATAAACAATGTTTTAAATTTCTTAAAATTGTGTACCACACGTCAGATAATTTTTAATTGTTACCAGCCCGAGCAGTCAGTAGTTGTAATCACTGTAAATAAATATATGTGTTAATCAACTAGCCACAGGGTCAGCATGAGTTAAGGTCCAAAGATCACAATCTTATGTTGTTTACATGTCGTGATGTTTCATTAATTATTTACCTGGCCTTTGCTGTTAAATCCTAAGATCTCATGACTAATACTGGACGTTCTTCCTGACTGTATTTCATGCAGATGGCGGAATAAATTAAGTCTAGCCCGTCCTCTTCCATTATCAAACTCTCCCTGTGTTAACACACCCAGTAATGTACTTTTACCAGCATCTGCATTACCCAACACTGCTAGACGGAGGTCAATGAACTATTCAACAAAAGATACAAGATATTTTTTATAATGGTAACATTCATTGAAGCAGCTATGACTATAATATAATGAAAGAAAGCTAAGAAAACATTCCAGTATGCTGGGGAAAAGTTTATTAAATATATTAATTTTTGACATATATTTTATAATAACGTGTTACAATGTATGATTACCTGTTGGTTGTCTGGTACTTTTCTCACCAGTATCTCACATGCTCTCCTGCTAGGACTGGCACCTTCACCTTCAATGGTTCTTTCACGTAGTGTAGTCGTAGAAGCACCAAGTCTGTATTATTACACAAACACATATAAAACAAACTACTGCAGTATGTGGCTAACAATGGCAAACAAATGAATAACAACATACTTGATAGCTTGCTGCTCAAATTACAACAACAAAAACTTGCGATGTATTGCAAATGGGACGTTGTAACTAACAACAAACAAAGACACTGTGCCTTAAGTTGGTATAGTACAGTACACGTTTGTTATGAAAAATATATCTGGACAGGCGGACTAGATGTTTTATATGAGGGAGAGCTGGGTTTATTTATAGCAAAAGTTCAGAGTTGAATGTACAGCGTTTCTACCTGAAATGGCTGTATGACGAATGGTTCACAGAACTTGTTTTAGCAGTATACATCAAATGTATGTTGGCTTGTATGTACATAAACTGTGTTTGGGGCTTCATAGAGTTACTTTCTACATACTACACCCAAATGTTACAAACTGATTGAAGTTGTCATTTGAATTGTTAGCTAACCGAGGCGAAGATTCCACGCTGAGTTTGGCAAGATATTTCATCACGCCTGGCTTTATTGATGCTTGACAGTTCAGAGTTTTCCATTTTAGTATTTTCTAACCTTATCGAATTGCAGAATGTCAGCACATTTTCTACTAGTAACCGGTCTAAAGTGTTGTCACACAAACTGTGAATGTGCGTCCCACTTATATGTATGTAGCTGTGTTCGAAAATCAATACCTGAGTGACGTCAGTGGTATTTATTTAATATTGCCATACTTCACTATGGTAGTCATTTTGAATCAAGAATTGCAAAAATCTAAAATCCTGAGGCTTATGATTCTAAAATTAATTTCCAGACAGAAAGATTTTATTCATTTCTTTAAAAAATGTAGCTGCAGATTCATGCAAAAATGTGAAGATTCTTGCTTGAACAATAGCCTTGACATTTATATCATAGATAACTACCTTTGTATACCGGTACCTCAGTGGTTATGCAGATATTACAATCAAATTAGCAGTAGTAATATTAACCAGGGATCTCCCTAGCAGTTATTGAGTGCAGTTACCAGCAGTTCAGGTCGATGAACTCACCCCTGGTAAAGTTTTACTGCTACTCTGACACCTTTATTGGGTTGTTTACTATGTTTGCTCTTGCTGCCAACTTGCATGTGTTCTGATAATATCAAACCTATTTTGGTGCATCACAATAATTTGGGTCCAAAATTTAGTACAGTTTATAAACTTCACTATTTAGGTAGAATGTGTATAATTTCTAGCAGCAAAAATTAAGTATATAATAAATTAATATATTTACTTTTCAGCCATTTTACTTAGGGTTTGCAACGAGGCATCCAGGTCTTCACTCATCAGACCTGCTAACATGCCATTGTCCTCCACTCCTATTTCGTATATTGCTTCGCCCTGACCTTCACGTAACCGCCATTTCATCTGTGTTACCAAATGCTCAAATCGTGATGGTGAAGGATTCACTAGCTTCAGCTATAAATTAGAACACAGCAAAATCAAAGTCTGCCGAGGACAGTGAATAATTGAAACACTAGTACAGCAAACTCTTTGATTGACATTCAATTAACCTTCTATCCCACCTAAACAAAAGTAATTTTGAATGTGAAAACAACTGAACAATAATTATAAACAATTCAGTGCAAACAGGAGCTAAATCACCTCACTTTTATGCATTACATCGGAGCCAAACTACTGCTCATCCCACCGATAAACAGGAAATTATTATTAAAACGGATTTACACAGTTGTGGACGAACAAGAGCAGAGTTTCGACCGGGTTCATCCATTTTGCTCTAAGCCCAATAGAACATTGCCCTCAATTACTTAGTATGAAAAAATTAACAGCATGGCTGAGAACGATTTTGATGTCGTGCTTGTGTTGTTTCTTTACAAAGACAAGCAAGGATGTAGCAAATGATTATTGCCCAACGTTGCCATCGAACAGCTCTGATTTTTGCAATTATGGGTGCTATCATTTGTCATCTATAGTTATCCCTACAGTGTGGCAACATACATGTAGTAGTCATTGGCAGGACTAGATAGTTATATACATGATTTTGATGCGCTTACACAATCGGAGCCATGTCAATGCTATTAGAGCTCAATCTTGAGGGGTTTTTGTAGCAAAACTTGGCTCGATTCGAATACTTATACATACATGTAGCCATTTTTTCTTGGCTTGAGTGGTAACAATAGAGGTGATGATGATTAATGTAGATGTACAACAATTATTGCAGACAATACAATTAATATTTTTAGTTGCAATTGTAGCAATTCATGTTTTTGTCATAACTTCAAATATAAATTGCCCATAGAGGCTCCTGATATCAATGTTTTTCAGTCAGATATTTCATACTATAAATAAAATAAAAAATACAAACCTTATACTCAATATTGCCTTGCTCCACCTGAAATATAGTTAAAATATAGTTATTTCAAATATGTGTTCATTAGTGATAACAATGCGTCATCAGAAGTTATGACAATAAAAATATTTCTCTTCTCACAAACACACAACCTGAGGTTTGACAAAAACTATGAACCAAACTATAGATCTCACATACAACTATTTATTTTCACAATGAATACTGAACGACAAAAAGTTCAACTTTATGTTGTTGTTGCTGGTAGGTATTTGGTGATTTTATGGCATTTGTGAGGACAAAATATCATGAATGTATAGCTATGACTATGTGTCTTAACGCTCCCAGTGACATTTTCACTGATACAAAATTGAGCAATTTTCTTTGACTCTTGAATATTAGTACCGTATTACCAGTATGGATGCAATAATTAAAGGTAGAACATGAATTTAGTCCATTATAATTCCAGAAGACGTACCTGCACTTTATGCAAATTTTATTCATAACGTGGCAGTTTCTGGCTCATGAATATTCATTAATTTGTGGGTTCATTCTTAAGGATGTAGTAGACTTTCGTGGTGATTTTTTTTTCCATTTTTTTTTCTTTTATTAAACGTTGACTTGTACCTATATGCAGTCATATGACCTTGTTTTTTTATGATATCATGTTTTGATTTTAAGAAAAAACGGCCTTTTTAAAAATATAAAAATAATTTACAAGTAACGGAAGTATGTGCACATAGGATAAGCCCTTATGAGCCAAAACAATAACATTTGTAATTAGCATAATCCTGCAAATAAACATTGCCTGTACGCGTCCTCTTCGAATGACCGGACGCACTCACTCTTTGCTGATAGTTCAACTAACATCGCATCGCGTTTCTCTATTATATATAGGGGCGATATATTTTGGGGAACAAGAGTTAGAAAGGGGGAATTAGCAATCTTTAGGGGGTTAATACAAAAGAAGTGACCCATCTGGAGAGCAGCAATCATCCTCGTGTCTGTTGGTGTGCATGTGACTTGCAGCTGTTAACCTTGTTTGTACTTCAACACCCGCTTCAACTGCTGTGACTGGCCTTCATGTGAGGTAGTATTATTGTGTTCTGTTATTGAACTGACTTGAGTTCTTGATATACTGTAGCTTTAAGCTGTATATGTCTTTAACATCTTTCATATCTTTTGTAGGAGTGTCCAGTCTGTGATTCAAACTTTCAATCTTTGAGTTTCCAGCGCACTGTCTTGTCCACTGTACCACAAGGGTCTTCATGCAAGCGATAGGATTGACGATCTATTTATAGAACTGTCCTCAATAGCATTTTAAAATCCAACGAACCAGAAGATCCGAACCTGCGATCTCTCCCATTACTGACAGTGTACCAAGCGGGCAGTCACAGAATTAAATAATTTGTTGTAATACTTAGCTTTATTGCAAGTTAGTGTTTGCGAGAAAAGACAGGAATGAGAATTGAACCTGGGTCCTTCTGGTTACTCGGTAGGCTAGTGACCCACAAGAGCATGATGAACTGACTGCTTGTCTTTGCATTTGATGAGACTATATAATGTGTATATATAAAGATATAATACATATTTCCATTATGGAGTCACAATATTGCCAATTTCTGCTTGTGTAAACTATATTTATGCCATAACTCGTTAGTGTACATCTTGAGTCTCAACCTATTTGGTGTTTGCCATTTGCGTTGACCATATCTGATCGACCCTAACCCTAATGCCAAGACACGTTCCTGTTAAAAATTGTAGCTCAATAATGATACTCTCTCGCGTTTATTTAATTTCCACCATTACAAGTTGTTAAATTGAGAGAATATATGTGTGGACAAATATTTAGGACTTATTTTGGTGTAAACAACTCTTGATCAATTAATTTCCACCATTACAAGTTGTTAAATTGAGAGAATAAATGTGTGGACAAATATTGGCCATGTATTTGTGAGTAAATACCTATCGTTTAATTAATTTCCACCTCTACAAGGTTGTTAAATTGAGAGTATAAATGAGTTGACAAATATTTGATACTTATTTTGGTGTAAAGAACTTGTGTTTGATCAACTTCCACCATTGCAAATTGTTAAAATAATGAAATAAATATACTGGTATCATTGGATATTTGATTTAAATGTGAAACTTTCTAACAAAATGTTAACTGCTGAATTTGAACCCTCAATCAACAATTCCATAGACACCGTATAAATACCACAACACCACAGAAGATATTCATCTGTTGCCTGAATTGTTGTTGTAATATAGGGAACGCCATTGTGACATTTTAATATCTAGCAAAACTTATCTTGACTTGGGTCTTCTGTTTATCTCTTGTCACGCTCTGGTAACTGTTGAACAAATTGCGTGTCATTCAGGTTAAGACGTAAGTTATTTTATTATTTATTCATTCAATTTTGCATGGTGGAGTTTTGTGAGGTTTATTATTTTTTCGCGACATTCTTTGTTTGTTATGGTTTGAGGGATTTCAGTTTATTTGATTTACGTTTTTTTTACAATAGCTCTGAGTCAGTGGGATTCAAACTCACTGCCTTTTACAAGCTAATTTTGTTTTATCTTGCCTTGCCACGACGTTGGTCGTTGAGTGGTGTTTATTTTGCTAACAGTAACTACATCAATGTTCCGATTAGTTGAATGGAAAAGCCAAAACAATTGCTTCGGTTCCGGTATGTGTATATCTAGTGGGATTCGAACCCTTGCCGTTTGTATTAGGTGTTTTTTCATTTCCCAAGTTTGCTACGCCGTAATATGCGACCACTTCCCCGTTTATTGTGATTTTGTGAGGGTTTAATAATGTTTTCCTCGCCCTTCACCCAATTGAAGGTCATGTATTTTGTGACGTCACCAATTGTATGTAGGTAGACCATGAATTTGTCCTGTGATTGGACAGGTTATTTATTTATTTATATGCTGGCGGGAGACAACAAACTGAATCAATGACAATAGCAGAAGTGAGGCAATTCCAAAATATTTCATATTAGAGTATAAGAAAAATAAATTTGACCCTGGTTAGTGCATGTGTCAGCGCAAAAATCAATGCTTGCAACTTTTTTCCCTTTTTCTTTCAACACCATTCTCATGACCTGAGAAACAAATTTTTACTATTGAAATTATATTTTTTGGTGCCTGAACATAATTTTATTTTTACAAAAGATACAAAAAAAGTACAATTAGTCTGAAGTTTATGTATTTGGAAGGGTATTCATATGCAAATTTCAAACAACAACAGCGAGCCTGGAGAAAGACATTGGTCTTGATCATTATTATTTGAACAAGTCGATTCTCCAATTGTTTATTTCTGTCAAGGCGTCTACCGTCAATACCGCAGCATACACTGCACTTTCCGCACTGTAAAGCTTGATTGTATTCTGTTTTTTTTAATGCTACATCATGTGATACGTAACTCCATTGCTAGGATACCATAGTGATATGTGCGTCAGTCGAAGGCAAATCGTTTCTCACTACAACAAGCAGTCAGTCGGTCACTTTGACCTTACGTCACAAAAGGTTACAATGTACGAATCGCTGGCAAAATGCTCGTTCCTCGGCAAGTTCTTTATTCTAAAATAACGGAAAGCTAGCGAATTCATTTGGAAAACTGTCACAGATATGTGCAAAAGGACCTGGGATAAAAAAACAAAATAAACAAACCGTAACGTTTACGTTACCTCTGGAGGAAGGCTTGACATACATGGCATCGATTTCTTATCGCTTGTCCCAGCGTCCACATTAAGACTCGGATTCATCACAGCTGACTGTTCATTGACCAATTACCGCAGCATAAACTATCAGTGATGTATTTCTTCCTATGATCGCAATATCTGGCCTTACCTGTACATAATCTTTTCAATTATAAACATTTCGCGATCGTCCCTCCATATTGCATCAACCAAGCTCAAAAATAATAGTGCCGCCAACGATGTATTTAGTGGTTGAATACTGCGCCACCAACGACAAAACAAAGGAAATCAATCAATCTTGTCTGTGCGTCGTTTAGCCTTTGTATTCGAAAGCGAAGCGTCTCTCGCTCCAAGACCGTAACCTGGCTACTGAAGATACAATTTTGTTTGCCATTCCATCAGTTTCGTTTTGTGTCATTATTTTCAGGAAGTACAGCGTAGTGCACGCATATCATTATTACTGCATGTTGGCCCCAAAGGTGAGTAAGTTACTGCCAATTATTCTAAAAATAACGCGACGATTGTTACGACAACGATATCTAATAATTAATGCAGGCGGAGACGGTCGTCGTGGATGGATCACAGCTGCTCACCCAAGTTCGTTTCTACTGACGTAACTAACGTACTGGGCAATAGTCGTAACGAACACGCCAGACTAGTAGAGTATTCTGTACGAATATAACACAGCCATAGTATTTGCTGTTTGTGTGTAAATACTAGTATTTCCAATGTGTTGCATATATTGTTACAAATGCTGGTAGTGCAAATACATGTTCAACGTGTTTGTTCGTGTTTGACCTCCAGTATCTGGTACTACTTCTTTAGATAGCCCGAATGCATTGGTGACATACATGTAGATGTCTAGTTATGGCTTCTTTCAGTTTCAGGTTAGTTAAATACTCGTTGTAAAAACAAGGACATAATTATACAGAAGATATAATCAATATATTAATAAAACATGTAATTATTAATTTTAACAAATTTTAAATGTAAATTGTTTTCTAAATCCCTCATTTAGATGAGGAATTATGTTAATATATAACACTGTATGCCAGTCACAATATTTGTTGTCACCACACCTTTTGATGATTAATAGTAATAATTATGATTAGTGGTACAGTACATAAATGCATCAGTAACACAGTGTCTACGTAGTTAATTATTACATTATTTCATATCAATTATTTCTATTTGCAGCACGATGGATGATGAGGATCATGACGTGTACGTGGCTCAGTTAAAAGAAGTATTTGATAGCTGTGATACCCGAAGAATTGGTCGATTAGACAGAATACAGCTCATTGAACTTTGCCATAAACTTCAGCTGGATGACCAGAGTGATAATTTACTAGATCAACTTCTTGGAGACGATCTCGATGAAAAGGTGAGTAGTAGAGTTTTGGGGGTTGGTAGGATGTAAAGAAGTCTGTACTGTTATGTGTTTATTTTTTAGTGAGATTATCGGTAATATCCATACATTCTCAAATCAAAAAAGAGGGGGATACAAAATTTTAGAGAATTTCATTCAGATCTTTACAGCAAGTACCTATCACACAATTTTGTCCTCATAACTGCTCTCCAATTCTCAAATCATGAAAATTAATATTGACAAAAATTAAGCTGTATGTATATTTATTATTTAATTAAAAATACTAAAAATGAATGCTGTGTTGTATATTGTCACTGTAGCTGACAACAAAATAAGTTGTTAGTCCACAAATCATCTGTTTGAATGTCTAAGCTGTTACTGGGGGGTATTGTAGTAGGTCACATTTTTGCTCAGTTCTTTCTATATCATAAATGTTCTCTAATTCTTTACATTTTCATCAGAAGATCATTTATCAGATTTCAGTTTTGTCAACAATAGCCAAATTTGTTGCTAGATATCATAATAGCCTATTTGAGTTTTTACCATTTGTCAGTGATCACACTAGATTTTATTTTGCATAGCTTAGCATTATGGTTGTTTCTGTATACTGTAAAAGATCTAAAAATTTGACCATCTAAATATTTGTCAAATTTTTGTCAATCTTAATTTATCAAAGAATTAACTGTTTTTGGTTCTCCAAGTTTTTGTTCGTCTCAGATTTCTTTTCCTGAACCATTTTGTTCCATACTAATTTAGTATTTAATTAATATTATATCATTTTTAGTTTTGTATTTCATTATTTGTGAAACTAAAATTACACTGGAAGTGCATCTAAAAGAGTTGTCTATAGCACAGGTGTAAAAATAGTGGGGAATCATGCTTGATTCTGTGATTGACAGGAGTCACATCAAAGAAAATACTGGTGTTATATTCTCGTCCACATCCTTCTTGATTTACTGCTCTACCACAATATCTGCTGAAATTAATTTTATTTGTATCATTGTAAGATTGTGCATGGTTTTCTGACCTCATTTGGTTTGTTTATTTATCTTCTACCTGACTGGCTATGTCATAGTGTCACCTGTGAGTTGTAAAAGTATGCATTGCGTGTAGGCAACATGTGTTAATAATAACCACATTTATCGTGTCAACAAACAAATGTGCATACACTGGAAAAACAATAATAAATCTGTCATGTGACATGTGAATTATTATTCCCATGCAAGCTGTTTACTTGGTTATTGAGTAATGAACATATAAATATGATTATTATAATTTGTGGTAGGTCACTTTATATTTTCACAGTCCACATTAGCATTATTTTAATGAGTGACCTTTGTTTATCATTCATCTCTATTGTACTAATACATAGGTATTTCAAAAGCGGAATCAAGTTCAGTTGAAGTGTGATTATATTAGGATGATACTCTTATTTTAATTTTCCTAAATGTACGATTTTGATTGATGTAAAAATAAGACTTTATTTTTTTTTTTTTTCTGTTTTAAATATTTTTGCGATTTCTAGTCAATAAACTTAGTTGAATGACTTGTTTCAGTGAGTACAAATTATATTGCAGAGAAGAGAGTCTCTGATGCTTCATGTCTGCACATTTCTTAAATTAGATTCAATTTTAAATTTATTGTGCTTTTGATATGCATCATAAGCAAGGAGGAGGTCCCTGTTATACTGTAAAATCCTCTATTTTCGCTGGAATTAATATTTGCTGAAAAAACTTTTGGGTGTTTTGTATGGAATTTATTTTGACTAATTTTTGGTAAGTTGAATATCAAATATATGAAATAGGTATATTAGTTGGATTTTATTTTCCCTGAAACCTTCAGAGAAAATAGCGAAAATTAATTCCATGCGAAAATAAATTATTTTACAGTATACAACAACCGTACTGAATCATGAATGGGTACTACACCACGGTACTTTGAAATGGGAAATATGACATGGGAATTTTCTGAGACACAGCAGTTGACTGGCCTACCCAGGGGGGAGTTGCATGACACGATTGGTCAAAATAATTATCTCATTTGCATAAATTAATATTCATGAGCAATGAAAAACTCGTCTTTTCAGTAAAATTGTGCCAAAATGCTTTCCGATAGCATACATGATAATTCTAAATTGACTGATTCTATCGCTATGAACTGAAAGAATAATCGAAAGACTGATGTAAAGGTGTTTTTTGAGACTATTTTGATCAGACTCCAGCAAACTGTTGAAAGTAACTACTTTACCCTGATCATTGCAAGTTACAGAATTTATGGAGAATGCAGAGGCTAGTTTATATTTCACTCTAGTACTATTGCTCAAAATGTTTTCAGTGACTTTTGTCAGTGTCAAGTTACCTAATCAGTATGCATTTCGAGAAACGACAGTGTGTGTGTATGTGCAGTTTAAAATGGAACAATTTTGAATGCAATAAATGCACACGTAGAACTTGGGCTTCAGCAAGATACTGTGGCGTCAAACTGGCTGTCGATTGAATTGTATTGCACTAGACATAATTTTAGAGCCTGTATTTTTCTATGTTTTGTTAAGGATTATTCTGTAAAGAAATCGCTTCAAAACTTTCCATTCAGATCGAATGGCACCGTCTCATGCAAATCCCCTCTTGGAGATTGGCCATTTGACCTCATTATTATGCATACATTTGATTCTAAGCAAATTACTATGGAAAGTTACATTACTAAATGAATATACCAGTAAATAACATTGCTGAGGGTTGCAAAAAGTAGGTATGTGACTATACGAGGAGCATGGTACTAGATCTATATAACACTTGTATTGATAGAATTCCGGAATGTTCTACTTTCGCAGCCTAATTGCAGGTTTTTTCCAAAAAAACGTTGAAAAAACACAAGAATTAGTAGAAATGTTCCTGTTTTGGGTGGATTATTGATAGAGAATAATGTCTTTATTACAAAAATGCTGAAAAACCGTGAGTTTTTGCCTTAGTTATTTTTTTATTGGCAAAAAACTGCAAACTCGGCAAATTTGGTTGCACAACTTCTCTTTATGATATACACCCAGCAACACCGATGCCAGCTGACTGTGTACAAAAGTATGAATAAAACTAGCCGAAAAAATCACAGAGGAGTTAAAAGCCGTTGCTGGTGAAAGGTTACCCCAACTTTGGGGTCAAATTTCTTGGTAATGAAAAAAGATATCAAAAATTTGAGTAGTAACTTTGTGCCCACACTCAAGCTGAGTAGAATGAGCTATGTCTGAAGTGTTTTATCCCAAATTTGTAGGAGGAGATACAAATTAGTTTTATTGGCTGTTGCTATGGTGAAAGGGAAGAGCATCGCCAGGCGATGGACGCGGGGATCTATGGCAACGACCGCATGTCCATAGAGGTCAAAATACGCGTTCTATTTTTACGCGTTAAATTTGGCTCTTCCGTATCACCCCCTCCGAAGTGTTCTACTTTCGCAACCTAACTGCAGGTTTTTCGAAAAACGTCGAAAAAACACAAGAAATAGTAGAAATGTTCCTGTTTTTTGGGCGGATTA